TCGTGGCCGAAATTATGGGCCGCGAGCTCGCCGGTCCCAGAAGACGCTCTACGTAGTAACGACGGTGTGACGTGGACGAAACAGGCGTATTTAGTGTACAACGGAACAACGGACGGTGTCGGATAAACGTGTCATATATTTGTATTCACATTATTGTAGACATTGATAACCTGTAAATATTGTAATGTTTCAAATTGTCTCGATTTTGGTACAACGAATGTTGAAATTGTTGGAATATAATTTAGAATGTAATTTAGGTAGTGGAGGATTCAAGGTTCTGCTTAGGGGACGGTCAAATTGTCTACATGTAAGAAGAAGTGCTGTAAATATTATATTTTCTATTCGAGGTATATTTAATTGTACAGTATTGTTAAATAATACATTTAACATACAGAAATACAAATAAAATACCAGAAAATTTATAAAAGATCATCGGTACAGCAAAAATACACGTTTAAAATGTGGACATTTTTCGACCTTACGCATGTCAGAGTTAATGCTTTGAAAAATTGAATTTTTGTTTATTGGTTTTAAAGGCCGCATTCTTCGTGAATGTTTTTTTTTTAGAAAATTGAACGTAGTGCTAATATTTTTGAAGAAATCCTTTTAACCGTGTCCGATAAAAATCGGAACAGGTACCACCTTTATTTGTTCTTAAGACTGGATTGCCGGAGCGAGTCAATTTGACTCATTTACGATTTTATTGTTGAATTTTATAGAAAAACTTCAACAATTTTTTTAGAACATATGTTGGTTATTTGAAACGTATATTGACCATAATTCTATTAGAAACTAACATATGTTTAAGAAAAAATTATTTAAGTTTATCTATATATAGTTAAATTAAGTTATATTTAAGTTTTCTATATATATATATATATATATATATATATATATATATATATATATATATAAAATTTGACTCATTTATGATTTTATTGTTATATATATATACACAGGGTGTCCCGAAAATGTCTCGCAATCCGGAAATGGGAGGTTCCTGAGGTTATTTGAAGCAACTTTTTCCTTTGCGAACATTTTCTCCGTGGCTTCGTTTACGAGTTATTAACGAAAAACACTGACCAATAAGAAGCGAGCTCGGCTGACGCGCGGCGGCCCAGCCAACGAGTTCACGGAGCCCGGTTCCGCTCATTGGCTCGGCCGCCTTGCGCCAAATGATCTCGCCTCTGATTGGTCACTGTTTTTCGTTAATAACTCGTGAACGAAGCCGCGGATTGCATTTTCGTTCAGGAAAAAGTTGCTTCAAATGACCTCAGGAATCCCCTACTTTCGGATTGCGAGACATTTTAAGGACACCCTGTATATATATATATAACAATAAAATCATAAATGAGTCAAATTGACTCGCTCCGGCAATTTAACGTTAATTAACCAGTTAGCTGTTGGCGCCTCCTTTTCAGAGCGCGCACATAGGTGCGCACATATAGATGTGTCGCGAGAGCTATAGAAAGACAATTAATATTTGAATTCAAGGAAGCCTTCTTTGTTACTTAAACAATCTATCTCAAAACTCGCATTGACTTCGGATAAAACGGCTAGCATCGCTTTATACACACGTAATTACAAAATAACCGCGCGCAATCTCGCTTTCCCTCCTTAAGATCGTATCTCATCCCACCGCAGCATTAGTATCCATCAACGGAGACACGCCCACCATAGTCCCCGCGTATCAAGAGCAAAAGTAAAACGAAAGAAGATCGCGAAACCGGGAGGCGAAACAATCGTTTTCGCGTACACTGCTTCCTATAATAATCTTGTTAGCCGGTCTCGCAGCGAACGAACGGTGCTGCAACTTCGCCGAGCAGAGATTTCAGTTCCGAGCGATTTATTCGCAGAAGTACATATTAATCAAGCCGAGAGAGCGGAAACTGTTTCGCGTTCAGAAGTACATATCGGATTTGATTTCGCGATCAGCGTCTGGATCGTGTTGGCCGTTGAATGACGCTTTTGAAGCCGGCGTCGCGGGCGCTTCCTCGCGAGAAATCGATATCGTCGGAGACTCGTCGTTGAAACCTTGCACGCGCGACTCCGCGGGACGAGTGATCCCCGGAGAATTTTTTCAGCTTGGAAACACTCGTCGCAGATTGAACGCGTTATGCTCGTCGGGGTGCACAGGTGTACGGAGTGGAACATCCATAATAATGCTGTTCCGGGTGCGGCGATGCAGTCTGCAATCGAAACTGCTTTCCCGCTGTTCTCGGTGACGATGTAAATGGGTCAGAACCGTGCGCAATGATTAAACACCGATTGCTCCACCCTCTATTCCCCGCCCCCTCTCTCTCGCGCGCGCGGTTTTTCTCTCTCTCTCTCTCTCTCTGCCTCTCTCGCGCGCTTTCTCTCTCTCTCGCTTTCTCTCTCTCGCGCGCGCGCTTTCTCTCTCTCTCTCTCGCTTTCTGTCTCTCTCGCTTTCTGTCTCTCGCGCTTTCTCTCTCTCTCTCTCTCTCGCACGCGTTTTCTCTCTCTCGCTTTCTCTCTCTCTCGCTTTCTCTCTCTCTCGCGCGCTATCTCTCTTCCTCGCTTTCTCTCTCTCTCTCGCTTTCTGTCTCTCGCGCTTTCTCTCTCTCTCTCTCTCGCTTTCTGTCTCTCGCGCTTTCTCTCTCTCTCTCGTTTTCTCTCTCTCTCGCTTTCTCTCTCTCTCTCTCTCTCTCACTTTCTCTTTCTCTCTCGCGCGCGCTTTCTCTCTCTCTCTCGCTTTCTCTCTCTTTTTCTGCATGCGCTATATCGTTCTTTCGTCCGTTCCTCTTCTTTCCGCGATGTCCGCGTTGAAAGCCATTATAGCAAGAAGCTGTTCGATACATATAAATGATTATAAATAACTCAAAATCGATACTGAAAAAAACCACCGGTTAAACGGTTGCTCGTAAATCAATCCAGGCGTCATTAATTTATACGCGAACACCCGTCGATCCCAGTGTGGAACCAGTGCACAGAAAATGAGACGGACGGAAAAAGGACAGAGACCATTAATTACTTTTTTTCTGCGCCGATCTCGTATCGGACAAAAGGATATGGTTAGGGGGGTGTATGATTTTCCGTAACTAGAGGTAGCGTTCGTTACAAGATTCTACGTGGTATGGAATTTTCGCTCGTGATGGTGGGTATCGCAAATTGAAGATCGCCGAATGAAGCTTCAAGAATTGAACAATTAATAAGTTGCGAATATTTGATTCTTGAGTAGACTATTTGTTGATAATACTATTATTATTTTATCATAATTTAACGATGTCTGCAGGATAATATATATTGTGTATATATTATTTAATTTTTAAATATATATACATATATATATATAATATATACTTAAAAATTATATTATTATACAATATTATACAATATTACAATATTATTATAATATCTTATACAATATATTATTTAATTTTTGTCTACTAGTTTTCTTCACTTCGTATATTTCCTTTTCAATGTGTTCATTTTGCTTAATGAAAAGAAAGCTGACGATTATTATTCGATTATTATAATTATTATTATTATATAATTACAATTAATATTATAAATTATATTATATTATTATTATTATTAACGATTATTATTCACACTCGAATAGTGACTCCGAGGCACCAATCAAATGCCCGTTACTCTAGTTTCAAACAACATTGACATTACCATATCTGTTTCTATTCAATAAATTGCTAAGAAATTGAACTGTCACGAGTAAGTGTTCAATGTTACGCGCCGAAAGAGAAGAAAAATCTAGGAAATTCAAATATCTCCGAGTGCAAAGGGTTAACGATTGTGCAAATGGAAACGGTTCAGATCCATTTAGATCCATCTTGATCGCGCTCAATTATCTTTAATCGAGATTGATCACCACTACTAGCTGAACGTCTTATTCACAATATTAGCACAACTAAAAATATATCAACAAATCGCGAAAGGATATGAACAGTATAAATTCTTGTTAATTACATATTAATATTCTTGTTAATTAACATCGTTAACGTAACATCCACCCGTTGCGCTGTATCACATTTTAAATCGCCGGTAGAAGTATCCAATTACTATGACTACAGTCGCCTTGGAAAGTACGTTAACGCCTTTTCAAGCGGAATAACTCTTTTCAAATTGGTTCGAAGAACTTGGATATATTTTGACCAGATTATGTTGACCAATTTTCTATGAAATGAGTATATAAAACGTTTTTTAGATTGCAATACATTGGAATGATAAAAAGATTAAGAAATTGTTTTTTCAACTATTTTATGTGAGTCCATAACGAAAATATTTCTAAAATGCATTTTGTAGATCTCGATAACTTATATGCATGCTGAAAATTTCATCGAAATCGGTCGATGCATATTCAAGCTACAGCCTCTGAAAGATGTAAAAATTACCTGCTTTTGTCTGAAATTCGTGAAGAACTGCGATTTTAGCGATCTTTGATTGCTTGCAGCTCATTTCAAGGTCAACCGATTTCGACGAAATTTTCAGCACGCATATAAATTATCGAGATCTACAAAATGCATTTTTTATTATACAAATGCATTAACTTTCGTTATGAGCACAGATAAGAAAGTTGGAAAAACATATATTATTATTATATTATTATATTATTATACAAGTTTTTTAGATTGCAATTGATAGGAATGATAAAAAAATTAAGAAGTGATGTTTTTATAATACAATATATATAGTAATAATAATAATAATATATATATATATATATGTATAATAATATATAAACGTTTTGTATACTCATTTCACAGAAAACTAGTCGGTCTAACATCTCAAAAAAAATATCAAGTCCTCCGAACCAATTTTGAAAAAGTTACTCTGATTGAACAGCCGTTAACGTACTTTCCGAGGCGACTGTACGTACGCGATGCACGTGATTCCCTCGCAAAATGCGGAATATTTTCGTGCGCAAGAAAATACTCTTCGCGGATGAGATAATTCTGTTGTAATAATTGTTGTAATAATGTTGCTGTTGTAATAATTCTCGCTCTAATTCCTCGGTTTCTCAGGCTGAGGCAGGACAAGGGCGGCGGCGCATGGTGTCCGAAAAACATGGTGACCAAGGAGGGGAAGGAGTACCTCGAGGTGAACCTGAACAGTTCGCGGGTGCTGACGTCCACCAGGACCCAAGGCAGGTTCGGGAATGGCCACGGCGTCGAGTACACCGAGGAGTACTTCGTCGAGTATTGGCGGCCGGGGTTCAACAAGTGGGTGCGATGGAGGAATCGACGTGGCATGGAGGTACGTACGCGCCGTCTGACTGCCGGCTGCCGACGATCGATTCGCGTCGGACCATTTTTTCAGCCCGTTTGCCGGGCTCGCACAGCCTGCCGCTCCTAACCGACTGCCTCTTTTACATCCGTTATGAATGTGACGCACGTCGAGAAATTCGGTGCCGTCCGATTCGGACTTGGACCGGCTCCGATCGATCGTTAGAGCCACGCGCACCTATCACTACGAACTGCGGGTGACCTCCATACGAGACTTTGATCTGTTGGGACAAGCCTCTTGGAAAAATTGTTTCGAGACATCGTCGTGATAAACAGAAATCGCTATTTAATCTGTCGTACAAACGACAGTGACAAACGACGTGACAAAAAGAAACAAAGATCTTGACGATGTGTAATTTTTTGATGCTGTAACTTTGGAGCAACTTCTGCACGTTTCCGAGAAATCTAGGGAATTTAGGATATTTTTATCTAAGCCTACGCAAGTAGCTTTCGCTCAGCGGACTTCTTCTCAGCAGTGCGTAATTTTCATTGTTTGTCAATTTTATTCCTAGCTGAAAATGTTCACGTTTTTTTGTTCTCGTAAATTCGGGGCGATTGCGAAGAGTAGATTAACAGAAATTGAATCGTTTCGTATGAATATAGAACAAATCTCTAACATATTAATAGCAAGCGTACCATGCCGGTAAAAATGACCGATGTCCCATTGCCTTATTTATATGCAGCCAGATGATAAAGACTCGATTCTCTGAACATGCAAATAAGGAGAAAGGAGAATTGCATGCAAAATCTGTCCATACAATTATTATTATTATTATTATATATATTATAATCTATTATCTATATATATATATTATTAATCTATTATCTATATATATATATATATTATTATAATCTATTATATATATATATAGAGAGAGAGAGAGAGAGAGAGAATATTACATTATTCTCATAAGTCACAGTACTAAATGTAGTACGTAACTGAACTATCGAAACACAAACAACGAGATCAGCATACCCGCCTGAATCTATCTACTGCAGTGGAGCCGGTTACTGTGTGGGATGACCAATTGCTGAGCCTTCGATTTGTTTTCAGGCAATTTACAGCAAAATAAACAAAACAATAAACTAAATAAACAAAATCAAATGAACAAAAAATAAAAATACAATAGACAAACAGAAACTAAATAAACAAAATAATAAAAAGATAAATAAAAGACTAAAGGCACAGCAACTCTTCGCACCGCAGTAAACGGCATCGCCAGCCCTATCTGAATCGTTCGACAAGCTCTTACTCTTTCCTACGCAGTATCCCGGGCGGACGTCGCTCCTCGAACAAGGAAATGAAATTTAGTGGGCTGTGTCAATCGAAAGCTCCCGTTCGTTCGTTCGTTCGTTCTTCTCGTTTATTCCGATTTTTCGCAGCGACGCGACGCGACGTTCACGGACCGCCGCTTCCGGCAGATTGTTAGACGAACCAATTGTAAAGCAATCTCCGCGGGGAAACCCGAACCGGCAGAATTAATGCGCCGCCACTCTTTATAATTGTTCTCGTCAAGGAAATCGGATTACAGATTTAGCCGGGCCTCGCCGCCGAGACAAAGCGTCGCTGCTGTAATTCTCCATTCTTTTGAACGGGGGAAATCTGCGCGTATCGCGCGCGAAAGCTTCGTCCCCCGATAGCCCCGAGGGCCGTCCACCATTTGTATTCGCCCGGTCGGTGTGTGTTCCGCTGTCGCCGCACACACGTGTCCCCGCGCACACCACCGCCGTCAACCAGCCCTCCTGGAACCGTCCAACGACCAGCAGCCCGGTGGTGTCCCATCCCTTTCGCGAACGTTGGTTGGACGGGGTGTAACCGTACACTGCGAGCCAGGAGCCCGTGACCAGTGTAAGCGGCCGTTACAACGGGCGACGTGTTAATTAACGTCTCTTTAGCATGATAATCTGTACGCGATATCCATTAGCTCGTCAAAATACATCATGCACGGTAAAGCGATTTACCGGCGCCGATGAAATTACGGGGAACAGGCTCTTGGTCGCGTCGCCTTAAATTATTATCCCCGACACGAGGCCGCAACCTCGACGGCCAGGATGCGACCGAGACGGTCACTCGCGATAATGACGCGGCTGAAATTCATCTTTACCAGCGGCCGACAGCTGCGTTTGCTGCTACCGTTACGGATTATCCGGGACGAGCGAGGTCTCGTCGGGAAATCGGCCGAGAAATCGGACCAGATCTTTCTATCGGGAAATATTTCGAACGTACGGAGAATCTTGCCACGAATTTTTTATATTCCTTTCTGAAGGCATACGCCAGGCTGGCGCGGTTCATTTGTATATTACGAGTTGTTAGTGCACAGCACTAATGTCTTTACGACACGAACGTGCCTAGCCGGCTGTTTTTGAGCTTAGGATTTTTAATAACACCTGGTATGCGTTTTGGACGTAAAGCGTTTGCCGGCCGAGAGTACGCATGCTCTGTTGCTTGATTTTTGGGACTTCGCTTCTCTCGGCCTCGATGGCCAGGACGTGTCATAAAAAAGGAACAGTTCCGAAGGGTCAGCCTGACATTGTTTTACGACGGTGATGCCTGGAGGAATTTTCCTACCTTTGCCAAAGCCTTGCGGCAGCTCCCACCTCCCATACACCAGCACCCTCCCAGAAAGACGCGTTAAGGGCGCAAGGGAAGGATGTCTGCTTTAAAACAGACTCACCGATTGGCTATTGCCAAAAATCAAGGAAAACCAATCGGCGAGTATCAGAAACGCGTTGGAGGGGTAGCAGTCTACCACGAAGGAAAATACTCTCTAATAGAGCAGAGTTGTAACAGAATTCGTAGAACTAAGACCTCCTGACCAAGGGTGTAGCGTAGTCGCGGGCCGAATACAAAACTTCAAGCAAAATCCGGTTCCTTATTTTGATATACAGTCCATATATATAGCGTCATAATTCGTCGCTATTACCGACGACGCTGTGACGCCCCAACACGAGTCAAGTACCTCTAAGGGGGTACGACGACGAATGTTTCTGGAATCGGACCACATAGGAACATCCCCACTACCATTTTTCCAGAGAAAATCTGGCTATATAAAGGACCCAAACGCGACCAGAAATCGGGCTAGTTTCGAGTCAATCGTCGACGTGGAAACTCTAGTGAGATCGAGTCTTAATTCTCCCTCGAACAATCAAGTAGGTAATTAGATATCAAATCAGAAGCCCCCGCCGACTCAGTGCGAAAAGCTGAGAGCGCGATAGAGTCCGCGAACACCTACATACATTTGTGAAAACCCAAAACGCGTAATAAATTCGCTTTTACCAGTTTTCTTTGGTTACAGGTTCAATTATTTCCATTTCCTATTTCGAAGCAGTAGTTGGTATAACCCACAAAGATATATCTTTACCGCTCGAGGTATATCTTTATTTCTCTTTCTTACAAAGTTACGAGGCAGCACAATACCAATTTCTCCAAATACTATCCTTACCTTAAAGGTAGCCACCCGTGCTGAAATAAGCATCGGCTGGTCTACGCACCTAATCCTAACTTTAAAGGTAGCCACCCGTGCTGAAATAAGCATCGGCTGGTCTACGCACCTAATCCTTACCTTAATGGTAGCCACCCGTGCCGAAATAAGCATCGGCTGGTCTACGCACCTTATCTTAACTTTAAAGGTAGCCACTCGTGCCGAAATAAGCAT